GTATCAGCCTAAATAAGGAACAGAGAGAGGTTTTATAAAAGAAAAAGATTTATTTTGGAATAAGCCATTGCAATGGGAGTAAGCGTTTTAAAGGAAAACATGAAGAGTATTATGTAATTGTTTTGAAATAATTATCCTCAGCTACAAAGATGAATAACATGGGTAATGCCAGTCCAGGGTTCCATAGGCAGTTGCTGGACACATGTTCTTGCAGAAGTAATTTTTGTGTAAGGTTGTGATGGCCTTTGTGCAAGGTTGTGGTTTTTGGCAGTCCTTTTTTTTTTTTTTTTTTGAGACAGAGTCTCACTCTGTTGCTCAGACCGGAGTGCAATGGCACGATCTCAGCTCACTGCAACCTCCACCTCCCAGGTTCAAGTTATTCTCCTGCCTCAACCTCCCAAGTAGCTGGGATTATGGGCACCCGTCACCATACCCGGCTAATTTTTGTATTTAGTAGAGACAGGGTTTCACCATATTGGTCAGGCTGGTCTTGAACTCCTGACCTCAGGTGATCCACCTACCTGAGACTCCCAAAGTGCTTGGATTACAGGCGTTAGCCACCACGCCAGGCCAGTTTTGGCAGTCTTTTGTGACACTTTTTGTTATCAGGAATACAAGCATGAAAACACTCTTCGTAGCCTTCCCCAGCTCTATTTGTAAGAGTTTTTTGTTTTTTTTTTTTCTTTTTTCTTTTTACCATTAGTGACTCCATTTTGATTATGACAACTTTCACAATAGCTAATACAGGTCTAAGGTACGAAATGCAAAAGATGCAAAAATGTGTACAGTAAATGTTCACCTCCATCATTTCTGTCCTCAAGACAACAACTTTTCTTGCCTAGAGGATATTTCCACATGTATAAGCATATGGGAATTTTCTTTCTCCTACTTTTACATAAACGATGAAATAATAATCACAGTTTTTTATTTTGCTTTTTTCACTCATCAGTGTTTTATGAGTACATATTGCTCTCTCATTCTTTTTCAATTACTGCATAGTAATTCATTGTTTTTCTGCATGTACTTTTTTTTTTTTTTGAAATGGAGTTTTGCTCTTGTTGCCCAGGCTGAAGTGCAATGGCATGATCTCAGCTCACCACAACTTTCGCCTCCCGGGTTCAAGCAATTCTCCTGCCTCAGCCTCCCGAGTAGCTGGGATTACAGGCATGTGCCACCATGCCCAGCTAATTTTGTATTTTTACTAGAGATGGGGTTTCTCCATGTTGGTCAGGATGGTCTCAAACCCCCGACCTCAGGTGATTCGCCTGCCTTAGCCTCCCAAAGTGCTGGGATTACAGGCGTGAGCCACTATGCCTGGCCTGCATGTACATTATGTAATTAGTTTCTTTAATTAGTTTGCTATTTCCAACAACGCTATAAAAAATTTCCTTAATCATATATCATTTCAAACATCTATGGGTATAACTGTAGGTGAATTCCAAGAAATACTTTTGCTAGATCAAAGAGTTTGTGAATTTGCATTTTTGATAAATATTGCAAAAGTGTTATGCAGAATGGTTGTACCAATTTTTACTTGCAACAGTAAAGTGTAATAATATTCCCACACCCCTCACTAATTACAGTGTGCTTAACTTTATGTTATCTGCTAATATGATAGGTGAAGTGTGGTGTATCATTATCGTTTTATTTTGTATTTCTCTTTTATGGTATGAGATTAAGTGGGTTTTACATTTACTTACTTTTTCTATTCTGTGAATTCCTCATATTCTTTGACCATTTTCTCTTTCATTATAGATTTTTTCTTATCAATTTATAGTTCTTTATATATTAAGGAAAGTAGCCTTTCATCTGTGATAAGAGTTGCAGAATTATTCTGTTTGCTGTTTGACTTTATGTGTATGTTTTGCTGTGCAGATTTTAAAACTTTTTCATGTAGTTGAAGTTATCCTTCCTTTTTTTTCCATTATAGCCTCCGAGTATTGTGTTATATTTAGAGAAGCTTTCTCTGGCTGGGCATAATGGCTCATGCCTGTAATCCCAGCACTTTGGGAGGCCAAGGTAGGTGGATCACTTGAAGTCAGGAGTTTGAGACCAGCCTGGCCAACATGGTGAAACCCCGTCTCTACTAAAAATACAAAAAATTAGCTAGGCATGGTGGCGGATGCCTGTAATCCTAGTTATTTGGGAGGCTGAGACAGGAGAATGATTTGAACTTGGGAGGTGGAGGTTGCAGAGAGCCGAGATCATGCCATTGCACTCCAACCTGGGCGACACACTCAAAAAAAAAAAAAAAAAAAAAAAAAAAAGAAGAAGAAGAAGAAGAGGAAAAACTTTCTCTGCTCTAAGACCTCCCATAATATCTTCTAGCACTTTTATGCTTTCACCTTTTATATTTAATCTTTTATCCACTTGGAGTATTTTGGTGTTAGGCGTAAGAAGTGAGTAGGGGTCCAACTTTTTTTCCCAAAGGGCTAATCACTGGTCCCAACCACTTTTTGAGTTACTGAGTTTTAAAATCTAGAATGAAAGTCAGATTTTGTCAATGATCTGTTAAGCATCTGTGAATATAGTAAGATTTTTTTCTCTTTTAAACTATTAATATGATTCATTTTATTAATTGATTTCTTAATAGTGAATCATCCTTACACTTCTGGAATAAACCTTGCCTATTTACAGTGTGTTATTCTTTTCATATGCTACAGGATACTTCAGTTAATTTTTTTGCTTTTTTTTTAGAGATGTTCTCTCACTCTGTTACCCAGGCTGGATTATAGTGGCATGATAAGAGCTCATTGCAGCTTCAAACTCCTGGGCTCAATTGATCCTGCCTCAGTCTCCCGAGTAGCTGGGACTACAGGTGTGCCTCATCACGCCCAGTTTTTAAAAAAATTTCTTGTACAGATGGGGGTCTCACTATGTTACCCAGGCTGGTCTCAAACTCTTTAGGCTTAAGCAGTCCTCCCACCTTGGCCTCCCAAAGTGATGGGGTTACAAGACATGAGCCACAGCACCCAGAGCAGTTAATATTTTATTTAGAATTTTTCCACTGATACTTATAAGTGAAACTGGTCTGTCGTGTGTGTGTGCATGGTATCTTTGTTGATTTTGGTATCAAAGTTATGTTTACTTTTTTAAAAGAATTTGGAAGACTTCCATCTTTTGTGTGCTCTGGGACAGAATTAATAGCATTTTAGTCAACTACTCATTTGTGTGGAATTTTCTTGCAAGACAGGGAGGGCTTTTGTAACTTTTAGGGGTGAAGGTGAAAGTGAAAGTGGGTCGTGGTGGTAGCAAGGATAGTTTTTGATAAACTCTATTTTTTCTACGGTAATGGTTTGCTTAAATTTTGTCTCTTCCAGGATCTATTTTGATAAACTGTATTTTTATTTTATTTATTTATTTATTTTTTTTTTTTGAGACGGAGTCTGGCTCTGTCACCCAGGCTGGAGCGCAGTGACGCGATCTCGGCTCACTACAACCTCTGCCTCCCGGGTTCAGGTCATTCTCCTGCCTCAGCCTCCCGAGTAGCTGGGACTACAGGCGCCTGTCACCACGCCCGGCTAATTTTTTGTATTTGTAGTAGAGACGGGGTTTCACCGTGTTCGCCAGGATGGTCTCCATCTCCTGACCTCGTGATCCACCCGCCTCAGCCTCCCAAAGGGCTGGAATTACAGGCGTGAGCCACCGTGCCAGGTCGATAAATTGTATTTTCTTGTAACATCATCCATTTCAGGCCGGGCGCGGTGGCTCAAGCCTGTAATCCCAGCACTTTGGGAGGCCGAGACAGGCGGATCACGAGGTCAGGAGATCGAGACCATCCTGGCTAACACAGTGAAACCCCGTCTCTACTAAAAAATACAAAAAACTAGCCGGGCGAGGTGGTGGGCGCCTGTAGTCCCAGCTACTCGGGAGGCTGAGGCAGGAGAATGGAGTAAATCCGGGAGGCGGAGCTTGCAGTGAGCCGAGATCACACCACTGCACTCCAGCCTGGGCCACAGAGCGAGACTCCGCTTCAAAAAAAAAAAAAAAAAATCATCCATTTCATCCAGAGTTTTGTTTTTCTTTTTTTTTTCTTTTTTTTGAGGCCGAGTCTCACTCTGTAGCCCAGGCTGGAGTGCAGTGGTGCGATCTCGGCTCACTGCAAGCTCCGCCTCCCGGGTTCCCGCCATTCTCCTGCCTCAGCCTCCCGAGTAGCTGGGACTGCAGGCGCACACCACCTCGCCCGGCTAATTTTTTGTATTTTTAATAGAGACGGGGTTTCACCATGTTAGCCAGGATGGTCTCGATCTCCTGATCTTGTGATCCGCCCGCCTCGGTCATCCAGAGTTTTAAGTTCACTTGAAGTTAAGCAAAATTAGCATCTTACAAATCTATAATTTGTTTCCTATGTCTGTGATTTTACCCCGCTTGTTTTTTAAATCATGTCAAATGTACATTTTTCTCTATTTCTGATAACTATTTTATTTTTTGTGAACCTGTGGGTTTATTAGTCCTTTGAAATTGGTTTCCTGAATTCATTTATTTCTTCCTTTATCTTCCCTAATTTCTCCCTCCTGCTTTCCTCATGAAGCATCTGCATGTAGTGTTTACAGTTTCTTTATTCTCTCGATATTCCTCAGTTTGCTCTTTGACGTCCTCTTTTTCCCAATAGTCCGTTAGAACACCTGTTTTAAGCTCAGGTGGTTTAAAGATTTTCACTTTAGCTTATTTATTTTTTTCATCCCCGAGAGCACTAGAGAATTGTGTATCCTGCTCTCCACCCGCATTTGGCTTCTTCCCCAGGGTTCTTCTTCCAGAAGCTGACGAGAGAAAAGAACCACACGGGCTGCAAGAAGAAACAGTCACAGGGCACCAGGAGGCGGAGGACGTAGAGCACCCTTGCCTAAGTTGGCCCAGGCCCCACGGGGCGCAGAAATAAAGGCCACACCCCCACGAGCACGTGGCCAGACTGTCCAATCGTCGCTACTGAAGCTGGGCACTGGTCTTTGATTGGTGTTCCTGGAGACTCCCTCACATTCTTGGATCAGCCCAAAGCTAGGCTCAGGCTCCGACGGTGGCCGGTGGGGGTCACGAGGCTTCGGAGTGAAAAGAAGGGTTTGGCTTGTGGGACGCAGCCGCTTCTGTGCTGGGGAGTCGCTGAGCGACCGGGCTCCAGGGACATGGCGGCGGCCTCTGCGGTGTCGGTGCTGCTGGTGGCGGCGGAGAGGAACCGGTGGCATCGTCTCCCAAGCCTGCTCCTGCCGCCGAGGTGGGTGGAGGGGCCGTGGCGCAGTGGACAGAAGCGGGAGCGAGGGTGCACGGACCCGAGTGAGCCGTGGGAGGTGCGGCAGGACCCAGGGTCGGGGTGGGGAGGACGGTAGAAAAACCCCAGCTACTTTCGGGGGGCGGGTCTGCTGGCAGTCACGGCGTCTGGAGGAAGACATCCCCACCAGTCCTTCCGTTTCTCCCCGCTTCCGCACATCCACGCTTCAGGGCGCCGTTGGCTTCGGTTTTCCATTTCTGAGCACTGGGCCCACCATCCTCCAGGCTCCCCTCGCCGTCGCTGCAGCTCGTAGCCGTTTGCATCGGGCTTTCGCAGCACCTCTTAGGTGGGAGCGTTGTTATAATCCGGTTCCGGGGAAGCCCGAAGGGATCAACGACTTGCTCAATGGAACACAGCTATTAAGAAATGGGGCCAGGATGCCCTCAAAGCGTTTTTCAGTTCAGCTGTGCCCCATCAGGTGTCCGGTTCAGAGAAAGACTCCTGGAGTTCATTCTCATTGTTAGAAGGAATGAAGTTGTCAAGAAGAGCAAATGTACCTTCCACAGAGCTGGGAAATTATTTTGTCAAAAACTCTTGTACCCAAGTTTGAACAACGCTATCAGATGACACAGTCTAGCTCACCTGACTCCAGCTCTGTTTCAAATTCTGAGCTCTAAGCTTTGGTGGCAGTAACTCTGGCAGTGGAAACACCCTCAGGCTTGTAGGTAGCTTGCTTCTTTGTCTTCTTTTGCTTCATGATTATCATCCTTCATCATTCTGGAAAGATTGACAGTTTAGTGTTCAAGGGCACAGACTCTGCAGTCAAGGCTGGGGTCTTAGCTTAGTTAGCCACTCACTAGGTGTGTGACTTTGGGAAAGTTACTTAATATTTCTTCTTTAATTTTCTCACCTTGGAGATGATACTAGTACCTTGGGTTGTGAAAATTAAATGAATTAACTCATGGAATGAGATTTAAGCACAATCTCATACATAAAATCAGTCTGTAAACGCAAACCCAACCATTTAAATGAACGTTTGCTTGCTTTTTCCAGAAATATTGTAGGTACTTTTTTTAGTTACTTAATTTTAGGAGTGCTCAAGAGAAACATGAGAAAGTTGTGGCAAGTTGGCTGGGCCCAGTGGCTCACGCCTGTAATCCCAGCACTTTGGGAGGCCAAGACGGGCAGATCACAAGATCAGGAGATCAAGACCATCCTGGCTAACACGGTGAAACCCTGTCTCTACTAAAAAAAAAAAAAAATTAAAAAAAATTAGCCGGGTGTGGTGGCGCGCGCCTGTAGTCCTGTAGTCCCGCCTGTAGTCCCAGCTACTCAGGAGGCTGAGGCAGGGGAATGGTGTGAACCCAGGAGGCAGAGCTTGCAGTGAGCTGAGATCGCGCCACTGTACTCCAGCCTGGGTGACAGAGTGAGACTCCATCTAAAACAAACAAACAAACAAAAGAGTTGGTGAAAGTAATGTTAATGTTCTTCTTGTTCTTCTGGTTTTTCTTTTCTTAGGTTTCCAGGGCTCTTCAGGTTAGTACCATAGACCTATTTTCTCTCTCTCTTCCCTTTCAAAGCTTAGCTATTGTCTATAGAACTGTCCTCAAGTATGTCACCCTGGAGAGTGTTAGAGTTGTTAATGGCTTATAGAAGTAAAACTCTTCGCCAGGAGAGTTGGTTCATGCCTGTATTCTTTTTTTTTTTTTTTTTTTTTTTTTTGAGATGGAGTCTGGCTCTGTCTCCCAGGCTGGAGTGCAGTGGCCAGATCTCAGCTCACTGCAAGCTCCGCCTCCCGGGTTTACGCCATTCTCCCGCCTCAGCCTCCCGAGTAGCTGGGACTACAGGTGCCCGCCACCTCCATGCCTGTATTCTTAGCACTTTCTCAGCACTGTGGGATCCAAGGTGGGAGGATTGCTTGAACTCAAGAGTTCAAGACGAGCCTGGGCAACATAGTGAGGCTTCATCTCTACAAAACGTTAAAAAATTAGCCAGGCATAGTGGCACACACCTGTAGCCACAGCTACTTGGGAGGATGAGGAGGGCAAGGATGGCTTGAGCCCAGGGGTTCCAGGCCATAGTGAGCCATGATCACACCACTGTACTCCATCCTGGGTAACATCCCATCTCTAAACAAAAAAAAATCTTAACATTGCAGATAGTTTACACTATTTTTATGTTATGAATCTCTAGTAGCTCAGAGAAAATAATTTCTAGTGGCAGAATTACATGACAATAAGCTGGTATAGAGCCACCTTGAATCAGGGAAGCAACTTCTTAATCTTGTTTAAGCCATTGCTTTTAAGTTGCAGCTTAGATAATTGTGAAAAATGGCATAGATGATCAGAACATTGTTGGGATAGAGGAGTATAGTTAAGTGGGCTCTTTCTCTGTCTCTCTCTCTCCCCTCCCTCCCGCTCTTTCCCCCTGCCTCCCTTCTTCTGTCGTCACTAGAAGATTGCAAAAGAAAGCTTTAGGTCAACAGTAGCCTTGAAACTTAATCAGTCTTAAGCTACCTTTACCAACCAACAACCATTTAATAGATAAATCTGCCCAGAATAGGCCTTGAAACGTATCAGAAGCCTATCTGAAGAATGTGAAGGGAAGATGATGTTATGAGCTAGAAAATACCTCATAAAGATCAGGAAAGATGATCCCCCTCCTTCATGATCAAGAAGGTAAGGTCAGCTGAAATGGAAAGGTATGGGAAAGCAGCAGCCTCCTGAGGAAGCCAGCTCACGGAACTCTCCTGCCAAAGCTGTGGGTCTTCCCAGCAGCTCCTCATGGATGGCAGCATCTGAGTGTGCATTGTAGGGCAATGAGTGTATAGATGCATATAGATGTGTAGGTGTCTCCTGCATCTTGGCTCCAGTGAAATACTAGTCCTGCTCAACTACATAGTCATATACATAGTATGTATATACTATTGCCTAGTTACATAGTTTCTAATGCACATGCTGTGCTTTTATCTTGTGCTTTGTGAATAATCTAAAATGGTTAGTCCTTTATAACCACATCTTCCAGGTATAGACAAAAACGTGGAATTGCTTCTGTAATTTGTTGGTTTCCCTGCCTATGCTTTTTAAATTTTTAAAAATTTTTATTTATTTATTTATTTTTGAGATGGAGTCTAACTCTGTCGCCCAGGCTGGAGTGTAGTGGCATGATCTTGGCTCACTGCAACCCCTGCCTCCCAAGTTCAAGTGATTCTCCTACCTCAGCCTCCCAAGTAGCTGGGATTACAGGCACACACCACCACACCTGGCTAATTTTTGTATTGTTAGTAGAGATGGGGTTTCACCATATTGGCCAGGCTGGTCTCGAACTCCTGACCTCAGGTGATCCCCCAGCCTCAGCCTCCCAAAGTGGTGAGATTACAGGCGTGAGCCACCGCACCCAGCCCGCTTATCCTCTTTAGCTGAAACTTAATAGACGTTATACCTTTTTGTTCCTAAAGTGAATCTGGCCTGTTTTCTGTCAGCTCTTGGTTAATGGTTCATTGTTACCTTATTTTATAAATAGGTATCATGAAACTTAAAAATTGTTGAGATTTCTACCTCATTAAGACACCTCAAGTCATCTTGTCTCCCCATTTCTTCATTTTGTTTTAGTACAAGGACTGGGAATAGCATTATATAATACTTTTAAAACTGAGAGGTACCTTCAAGATCACCTCTTACAGTCTCATCTCGTGTGTGAGAACACTGAAGCCCAAGATATTAAATCTTGCATCCTCAACTGGGATGATATCACCGCTAAAGGTGGAAATTGATTCTTGGGAGAGCCAGAAAATCTTAAGATTTTTTTCATGGTTTACGGCTTACCTAAGTTCAACCTTACCCCACCCTTCCTGCAAGGAATAAAATCTTTTACAAGTTTTCTCATTAGGAGAGTAATAATGAAAAAAAGTTTGAGAAACACTGATGTAAAGTGACTCGATTCTGGGCAAGCTGGTCATTGGAGGGACTCGGATGAGAACGCAGCTCTTCTGGTCCCACAGCCAACATTCTTTCTGCTGCCCCTGTTTAACTTCCGTTTATTTCTCTGGTCTTACTTTTTAAACATGTCTCATGTTTCAACTTGATTGGTATTTTTCAAACTGTAGAATAACCAACATATTTTAATAAAATAGGATACAACTGAAAGTACCAAAAGGCAGAATGAGTCATTTTTAACAAAACATCTGTTTTCATTATGTGTGTGTCCTCGGTGGTTTGTATTGTGAGTAGTAGCCAAAAAGGTTTCAAAAAAGCTAAACTAGATGATGTTGGTATACCTTGGTTGTTTAATCATCTCTGACTCTGTGGTCTTATGCCAGCCTCAGGAACAAGCAGCTAGGTGACTCATTCAAGGACAGGTAGTACGAGGGAAAACAGCCAGATCTCTAACTCTTGAGTTCTAGATTAGTTTTCTACCCACTAAGAAAGCCTTACTAAAGCACTGTTAGTTGACTTAAGGTTTCATGTTTTAAGAAACTGAAGTTCTTTTGAAAGAACAATTGCGTTGCCTATTCTGTTTAATTATAATTCCTTTTGGATTTATGTTACAGGACATGGGTGTGGAGGCAAAGAACCATGAAGTACACAACAACCACAGGTACTGACAGACTTTGTTGTTCTATTTGATTTTGCTTCAGATTGGAAGTGTTTAAGAAAGGGAACTGTTTAATCCCTTAGTATGTGCATAGTAGAATTAGTTATCATAAAATTTGGATTTTCATGATAATTTTCTAGGAAGTGTTAAGTCATGGTTTTCACCTCTTTTATATCAAATCTCTCTTGCTGTTAAGTCTAAAATACAGAGGGCAGCCGGGCGCAGTGGCTCATGCCTGTATCCCAGCACTTTGGGAGGCTGAGGTGGGTGGATCACCTGAGGTCAGGAGTTCGAGACCAGCCTGGACAACATGGCGAAACCCTGTGTCTACTACAAAATACAAAAATTAGCCAGGTGTGGTGGCGGGTGCCTGTAATCCAAGCTACTTGGGAGGCTGAGGCAGGAGAATCGCTTGAACCCGGGAGGCGTCGGTTGCAGTGAGCCAAGATCATGCCACTGCATTCTAGCCTGGGTGACAGTGCAAGACTCCGTCTCAAAAAAAAAAAAAGGAAAATAAATAAATAAATAAAATACAGAGGGCAATAATGGAGAACATTTTATATTCGTGTTGTTCTTTCTGACTGTTTGACCCTCTTAGTGTATTGCATTGGAAAATCATAACTACGATGGTCTAAAGCAGTGCTTTGAAAAAGCTGTTTTAAGTAGCAAAACCTTTTTTTCCAAATAAACTTTAACATGGAATTCCCAACTATAAAACATATAAAAGTGTAATAAAGTATAACTTCCAGCGGATTGGGTATAACCTTTTCCCTACCCTGCTCTCCTTCACCTGCCCACAGTCATACATATGTCATCTATCAGCCCCTGTGACAACTCTTGGGCTCTATAGAGCCCCATGGAAAAACACTTGAATTAGGTGCAACCTTATTTTTTTTTTAAAGAAGAAATAACTTTATTATGTTGAGCCTATGGATTCTATTTAATAAATAACTTTATTATGAACTGTCAAAGAACATTTATTTCATGTGTGATATTAAAAGTACATTTTATATATGCAGTAGCTTGTCATTATGGTGCCATGCCAGTAGACTGGTACAAGAGTCACTTGTGTTGCAGGAGAACCACACACACCTGTGTACATAGGGGTAGAGGCAGAGAAGCAGAGTAACTGAGACCTTAAATTCTGGAGTGATGCAGATCTAGGTTGAAATCCTGAATTCTTCCTTTAGCTGTGTAATTTTGGGAAAATAATAACTCTTTTAGCATTAGTTTCTTCATCTTTAAAATTGAGATAACAATGATAGTATCTATTTCATTAGGATTATTGTGAAAATTTAAGTCAATGTTGAGTCTTTAGCACAGGACCTGAGGCACAGAAAGTGCTTATTAAAGATTAGTTATTATTGGCCGGGTGCGGTGGGTCACACCTGTAATCCCAGCACTTTGGGAGGCCAAGGCGGGTGGATCACCTGAGGTCAGGAGTTCAAGACCAGCCTGGCCAATGTGGTGAAACCCTGTCTCCACTAAAAATATAAAAATTAGCTGGGCGTGGTGGTGGGCACTTGTAATTTCAGCTACTCAGGAGGCTGAAGCAGGAGAATTGCTTGACCCTGGGAGGTGGGGGTTGCAGTGAGCTAAGATCGCACCATTGCACTCCAGCCTGGGGGACAAGAGCAAAACACTGTCTCAAAAATAAATAAATAAATAAATAAATAAATAAAGATTCGTTATTATTAATGATGATAATTTTTAGCACTATTATAATTTGATCCTTGGCATAACAAAGCGTCTTTTAATTTTATTTTGTGTTGCTTTGTATTTTAAGTTAAAAAGGCTGAGTAATTTATGTTAATGAGTACCTTGAATTTCAGTGAAAAGAAGTGCACTGTTTAATATTAGTTAAAGTGGTCATTTTGGGCTCAGTTATGCTAGTTTTACCAAAAAGTCTGAACTTACCAGTTCGAGTCCTTATTAGCCAGTTAATATCGTATTCTCATTCTCGTTCTTTGCTCTCCAGTAACATTTCTGTGTGATTTTCATGGTGTTTTAAACAGGAAGAAACATTACCAAGGTCCTCGTTGCAAACAGAGGAGAAATTGCCTGCAGGGTGATGCGCACAGCCAGAAAACTGGGTGTACAGTCTGTGGCAGTTTATAGTGAGGCTGACAGGAATTCCATGCATGTAGATATGGTATGTGTTAAAAATTGGAAGCCACGTCTTACGTTTATTCATTTACTGTGTCAGTATTTCAGTTCTTTATGATGACAGTTGATATTTGCTAGTGTTAACAGGGTTGAAGTAGGTAAGTTCAAACTCTCACTGATAATTCTTGGGAACATTTTTCAGATACAACATAGTTGAACTAAGCGGTGTGCTTAGTAGAACAGTTGATTTACAGGGAAGGTCTTTATCTCCTTGAGGATTGGTTAAAACAGTTCACAGAATGTTGGTGATCCACTGATTACACTTTGAGTAGCTCATGTCCACATTCCCTGTATACAAGGAGAAAGATCCAGGCTCTATTCTTTTTTTTTTTTTTTTTTTTTGTGACTGAGTCTTGCTCTCTTGCCCAGGCTGGAGTGCAGTGGCCTGATCTCAGCTCACTGCAAGCTCCGCTTCTCAGGTTCAAGCGATTCTCTTGCCTCCATTCTCCTGCCTCCATTCTCCTGCCTCAACCTCTCGAGTAGCTGGGACTACAGGCACCCACCACCATGACCAGCTAATTTTTTGTATTTTTAGTAGAGACGGGGTTTCACCGTGTTAGTCAGGATGGTCTTGATCTGCTGACCTCATGATCCGCCCGCCTCAGCCTCCCAAAGTGCTGGGATTACAGACGTGAGCCACCATGCCCGGCCAATCCAGGCTCTGTTCTTAGCAACTGCTACTTACTAGCTGAGTGATCTTAGCCAAGTCACTTCATGTTTCTCAGCCTTGCTTCATCTGTAAAATTATAACTAAAAAGACCCAACTCCCTGAAGTTTGTGAATGTTATGAGTGAGTTATTACTAGTTTTTTTCGTTTTGTTTTTGTTTTTGACAGAGTCTCACTCTGTTGCCCAGGCTGGAGTGTAGTGGGGTGTTGTTGGCTCACTGCAACCTCCGCCTCCCGGGTTCAAGTGATTCTCATGCCTCAGCCTCCTGAGTAGCTGGATTACAGACATGCACCACCATGCCCGGCTAATTTTTTGTATTTTTAGTAGAGACAGGATTTCACCACATTGGCCAAAATGGTCTCGAACTCCTGGCCTCAAATGATCCACCCACCTTGGCCTCCCAGAGTGCTGAGTTACAGGTGTGAGCCGCTGCGCCCAGCCTATCACTAGCTTTTATCCACCAGAAATAACTCCAAGTATGGGTGAATTCAACTGTTGGCCTTCATTATGCCTGCAGCAAGACTCCAAGCACTAGCATCAATTCGTGATGAGCAGCCTCATCCGGGCTTTTATCACTGTACAGCAGGCCCTTGTGGCTCTCTAGCCACTTTTTTTCTCATTCTGTCCACTGAGTATTTCAAACCTGTTTCTCTTCATTCCAACCTCCAATTCTCCCTCCACCCACCTACTTGCAGCAGATGATCTTGATTTCACAGAGAAAATAAAATTGAGCTTCCTGACACAGAATCTGCTGACTTAGTTACATCTGCATCCATCTTTTCCCATCGAAGGTCAGTCCCTCTGGATCCCTTCTCTTGTCTTTTTAAGAATTTCCCCTGCTGGGCACAGTGGCTCACGCCTGTAATCCCAGCACTTTGGGAAGCCAAGGCAGGTGAATCACCTGAGGTCAGGAGTTTGAGACCACCCTGACCAACATGGAGAAATCCCATCTCTACTAAAAATACAAAATTAGCTGGGCCTGGTGTCACATGCCTATAATCCCAGCTACTCAGGAGGCTGAGGCAGGAGAATCGCTTGAACCCGGGAGGCAGAGGTTGCAGTTAGCCGAGATTGCACCACCACACTCCAGCCTGAGCGACAGAGCAAGACTTACCTCAAAAAAAAAACAAAAAAAAACCACAAAACAGCAACAACAACAAAAAAAACATTTAAAATGGTCTCTTTGTGTGCTTACTTAGGAGAAAGCCCAAAGTTTTTTAACGTCTTATAGGGCCTTTGAAACCTGTGTCCAGCTTTCTGTCCAGCATCCTCTCTGGCCTCTGGACCCCTTGCTCATTGTGTTCCAGCCACACAAACCTTTCTTCGGTCGCTCAAATGGACCAGTTTTCCTCCCACCTTTTTGTAGGTTGTTTTCTTCGCCTGAGAGCCTCAACCTCAGCTCCATTCCTGTTCCGAACTCCACATTCTTGATCTGTTTGCCAGGCAAAGTCTTGATCATCCTTGAGGAGCCTCCCCTGACTTCCCTCCTAGGCATTTCCTGACCACCTTCAGACCAGATCAGGCATTCCTCCTGTAGCCTTTATGCCCTTGGTTTTTCCTCCATGACGTTCATCACAGTTGTCATTAAGTGTGTGAGTGTATGTTTAATGTCTGGCTCTCTCCCTAGACAGGGACATCTGTTCACTATGGTACAGGCAGCTCCCACCTCAAAGTGTGGCACATAGTAGGCCTTCAGTAAGTCTTGGGATGAATGAATGATGTGCTCTAAGTGGTCTACTTCAAGGGATGCTATGATTGTGTGAAAGTTTTAAGGAATGATATAAAATAATTCACAAATGTATGAAAGGAGCATTATCATCATACTCTGATAATTATATAAACTTTAATCAACTTTGTAAGCTTTTTTCTTTGTGTACATCTGTCACATATTTTGTTTCTATTACCAAATATAAATTTTTGGCATTGAATACATTTAAGGTTATTATTGTTTTTGTAATAGTATCATGACTAATGTCTGTTGCTTTCTATCCTGAGACACTTTAGTTTCACACCAGTGTGTGGCTTGTGCATGAAAACAAAGTTTTGTTACCCTCTTCATGCAAAAGATTCTAAGACTGGCTTATTTTTATAGCATAGACATATGCTGGTACTTCAGTTTTTCAATTCTTGCACTGTTCTTGAGGGAGTGGCATTTTTATTTACAATAATAAAATGACCCCAAAGCAGTTCTGTATAGTGTATGAGTATGTACTAGCCACAAAGTCTTTTAAACATGTGATGTTTCTTAAACAGGCAGATGAAGCATATTCCATCGGTCCCGCTCCCTCCCAGCAGAGCTACCTATCTATGGAGAAAATCATTCAAGTGGCCAAGACCTCTGCTGCACAGGTGAGGGTTGTGAAGAGATTTGCGGTGCAAAAGGAATACGTTTTGTGCAACTGATGCAGTTACTTATAGAAATTTTCTATTTTTAGCCCTTCGCAAGATCTTTACATTTGATTATTGGATTATCATTGTAAACTAGGCATGTCCCATCTCATTTCTCAGCCAGTCTGCCTTTTTACTGGCTCCTGTGTACTTTAGATACTTTGGGAAATAGGTGGAAAGAGGATCTAAATTATAAGTTAAAATTAGGAGAGAATTCAGCTCTTCTGTCTTCAAAACTACATGCTCAAATCCTTTGGGAGAAATAGGTAGGTAGGGCTCTAAATTACAAGGTAAAATATAAGCAAGAAAGAAATATTTTTCCACCCCAACTTCCCAGTCTCATTCTAGGGCCACGTAGGGAACTTAAGGAAGACGATTAAGGCAAATGGAATTGCCAAGACTCTGAGATGAAAACAAGCTGACGTTCAAGGGAGAAAAGTGTTCAGTGTGGTTGGAGTGAAGGCAGTAAGGGGCTGTGTCATTCAGGTATAGTCAGTAAAACCAAAATTCCATTTGACATTTCAGCAGAAGGAGCTTAGTTGAGGAATTAGTTCCACCAGTGTTAGAGAGCTGAAGGCGGGCCGGGGATGTTGAAATTGCCCCATAATAATAACAGAAATTGACAACCATCCTTTGGGCTGTAGGAGAGACTGGTGGAGGGACCTTCTGCAGCTGTTCTGAGATCTGTGGAGGGGCCCTACCTGGCTGCAGGGGGCTTAATGAGGCTAGTTCTTGGAGTTCCAAAAGAACCTGAAGACCGGAACAATCACCGCTTCCTGGCGGCAAGGAGTAGGAAAGCTTCCTTGTTCAGGTTTGCCTACAGTGACCCCTGCTGGCGAAACCTAACAGGAAGCCCACTGGCAAATAGGCAGAGCTCCTTCACAAGGCACCAGGTAGAAGGTTGGGTTTGCGGCTGGGAGAACCAGCTTACAGGAAGAAAGTGGTAGGAGATGATGGAGCAGAGAGAGGTAGGGGTAGCATCATTTAGAGCATTACAAGTGTTGTTTGTTTGTTTTTGACAGGGTTTTTGCTCTGCTGCCCAGGCTGCAGTGCAGTGGCACAATCGTGGCTCACTGCAGCTTCCAACTCCCAGGCTCCCACTTCAGCCTCCCAAGTATCTGGGACCACAGGTGCACACCACCACACCTGGCTAATTTTTTATTTTTTATAGGGATGGGCTTTCTGCCTGTTGCCCAGGCTGGTCTTGAACTTCTGGGCTCAAGTGTTCTGCCTGCCTCAGCCTCCCAAAGTGAGAACATTATAGGTCTTGATAAGGAGTTCGTATTTCATTCTGAGTAGCCATTGGGGGGTTTTTTAAAGCTGAGGAGTAAAGCCATCGGCTTTACTTTTTAATAAAATCATTGTAGCTTCTGGGCAGGGAAATGGCAGATTGGAGTGGGGGCAAAGGTAGGGACAGCAACATTGAAAGAAGGCAAAACAATTAAAAGTAAATTGCTGTAGTGTTGCCCATCACCCTCACCTGAATTCCTGCTCCTTAGAAATTCTTCGTTGTCTCCTCTAGCACATTGATCATTCAGCATTTGATTTCCTGTTCTAGTCATATTTATACTTAATTAGTGCTTTGTTTAACAAGTTTAATATAGATATTGGCTCCTCCATAACTCCTTTGTGCTCTCCTAAGAACTCATATCTTACACCGTTTTTTTTAGCATACCTCCTAGCAACCCAGTGAGCTTGTACACAGTCCTCAATTTGTTTTTATTTTTGTTTTTTAAGACAGGGGTTCACTTATCATCCAGGCTGGAGTGCAGCAGTGAGGGTTCAAGCAATCCCCCCACCTCAGCCTCCCAAGTAGCTAGAGCTACAGGCTTGCATCACCATGCCCAGCTGATTTTTTAAATTTTTGTAGAGATAGAGCCTCCCTATGTTACCCAGACTGGTCTCAAACTCCTGGCCTCAAGTCATCCTCCCACCTCAGCCTCCCAAAGTGTTGGGATTACAAGTGTAATCTACTGCACCCAGCCAAGTCCTTAACTCAAATTAGTGAATATGTATAGTTGTTTTGTATTGATGTGTCCCTAAATCAGTGTTCTCTTCTTTGGAATACAGTTCTTAAACTGAATAGGTATTAATTTATACAAATGCATATTTAAAATATGCTTGTTTATAAAGCTTTTTTGGTTATAGCCTGAAGTAAAAGGTCCTTAGGAGGGTAAGAAGATGATAATAATACATGGAGATATGTATCTCTCTCTCTCACATGTCCTTAGGCATTCAGGCCCTTTAACAAACATCACTTTATGTATTTATCATGTGTTTAAGCATAAATGCCATGGTATTATTACCTTCATCTTATGGGCATAACATCTAATGCACAGAAGGTTGCATGATGTTATTCCAGATCATCTAAATCTTGCATCAAAGTGTGGTCCATGGACAGCAGGTTTGACATTACTCGTGAACTTGTTAGAAATTCAGACTTTTAAACTGGGCACAGTGGCTCACGTCTGTAATCCCAGCTACTCAGAAGGCTGAGGCAGGAGGGATTGCTTAAACCCCGGAGTTTGAGGCCAGCCTGTAGAAGATAGCAAGACCCCATCTCTAAATAAAAAACAGTAATAGCCTTTAAGTCCTACCCTATACCCACTGTAATTTGCATTTTATGCAAAATTTGCATTTTTTATCAAGATACCCCAGTGATCTGATATCAAAACGTGTCTAATCACTGAAAGAGAAAAGGATTAAACAAGAGTATTCTGACTCCCAGCCCTATTCCCTGTTCATTGGACCAGACTGAGCAGTAGAACTTTCTTGCCCTGCATTTTGGAAAAAGGGAAGGTGTTGTTTAATTAGAAATTTTTATTAATTAAAAATTACTTCTTGTAGGTCAGTGAGCTTCCTTTTTATTTTATTATTGCTTTCTCTTCTAAGCTGCCTCCTCAAGAGCTGAAAATCCACTTTCTTTTTAATGGCCATTTTTCTGAGACCATTTTTTTAGTTTAAATAACAACCCTCTAGCAAATGTATGATATTCTAATTCCAGGGACTTTATCAAGCTTGTACCTATTTAGAATAGTATCATGTTAGTTGCTATAACACAAACAATGAGAAAGGAATAATACTTATTTTGAAGTATGTTCCAAAGAATGTTTGAAAATAATAAAATATTTTTAGACAGTATTTTTAAAAGAATAAAATATTTTCAAAAAGTATTCATTTTGCCTGAATATTGAAGATTTGGAGTGTCTTGCAAAAATTAGTGGTGAAAACAAAGGATAAAAGAACAGAAGCCAAGTAACATGAGTGAATGAACGTTGGAATTAAATCAGAAAATTTAGCCTAAGTAAAGCTATTTAGCTCTTTGGGACAGACCTGATCAGAAAGGAAATTTGGTGGGTTATAATTTACAAAGTTCTCCTCTAATAAAAAGATACTTGCCAATTAGGAGAGCAAACCTTCCTTTAATGTCGACTTTAAAGAAGAAACTTATTGGCCATCTAGTAAAGGACATTGAATAACACTTGTACAGTGATTTGAAAGTAGTTTTCTAAAACTCTAGAATTGTTCTTAATGTGGCCATTTTGACATAAGCACTTTTATAGAAATTAAAGTAAAATTTACAAGTGAGCTAAATTTCTGGTGATGCCTGGTGATATAGCTATATTGAGAAACTCAAGAAGATGTAAATATGTTTTAGGCTAGCTTTTTTTTTTTTTTTGTTAAGATGATGTCTCACTCTGTCTCCCAGGCTGGAGTGCAGTGTTATGATCATGGCTCACTGCAGCCTTGAACTCACAGACTCAAGTGATCCTGCCACCTCAGCCTCCCAAGTAGCTGTGATGGGACTGTAGGCACACGTCACTATGCCCAGCTAATTTTTTGTTTGTTTGTTTGTTTTTGAAACAAAGTCTCACTATGTTTCCCAGGCTGGTCTCAAACTCCTAGGCCCAAGTGATCCTTCCCTCTTGGCCTCCCAACGTGTTGGGGTTACCGACGTGAGCCACCACTCTGGCCACACTAGTTCTCTCGATTGCCGGTTGTCTTCAGTCTTCTCTGGTTGGGAAAGAGGCCGTAGTTAACCCTGTCTGCAGATTAGAACCACCTGAGCTTTTAAAGAGACTGTGGTACTGCCTTGTGGAAGAGGTCTGTAGTAACTGCAAAGGAGCATAAAGCGGTCTCTGGAATGCTTGTGATGTTCTGATTCTTGAGCTGAGCACTGGCTGCACAGGTGTATTCAGTTTAAGTAAACTGTGGACATAAGAGCTGTACACTTAGGGCAAATGCAGTTTTCTATATGTATATTATACTTTAGTCTCCTCAGTTATCTGAAGTAGCTCCTGAGCATGAATGTTTTATAAAAGTGCTCCATTTTTTTTTTTTTTCCTGTGCTACCAAGAGTTAGGAACTTTATTACAGGTATTAAAAAATCAGTGACAAGTAACTTAAATGCATATAGCAAGTTATTTACGAAATACAAGTACTCTGTGGTTGACCAAAAGGAAGCCCATATGTTTTAAGTATCACAGATGAAGGTAGGAAATTCTTGCTATCAGGTCTCAGGGTCTGTCCAGCCCATGCTGAAGTCTGAGAAGAGTGGGTGGATGAGCAGAAAAAAGACTTAGGGGGCCATAGGCAGGTGAACATGGTTTTATTCAGCAGCGGCTCTTATTAGCATCTTAGTTACACCAGCTCTCTCACACTGTTCACCTTTATCTTAGCTGTCTGCTCTGGCTCTGTGGCTCCTGCCACTCCCATGCTTGCTGCTACATAGCTGGCTCTCCCTTGACTTCAGGGGCAGCAGCTTAACTCTTTTTCTCTCTGGGCATGAGCAAGCCAAGCTGTGTCCTGGCTCCCACCTGTCCGGCTGCAAGACGGACAACTTTGGCGCTCTCTCTCTCTCTCTCTCTCTGGGCACCAACACTCCCACCATGTCAAGCCATGTTGAGCCGAGCTGAGCCCCAAGAGCCCCTGAACAGCGTTAGCCAGGCAATTATACCTTT